GGACGGTGGCCATGGCAGTTGGGGGGCCTGGCTCCAGCGCGTCCAGGTCCCAGACGGCGGCTTGCTTCCTTGCCGCTGCCAGCACGCCGTCGGCCGAGTAGCCCAAGAAGTTCATCACGGGCCGGCCAACCAGTAGCTCCGCCTTGTCTTTCACGGCTTCGTCCACCCACAGGTCCAGTCCACGAAGGACAAGTGGCCCGTAGGAGGTTTGGAACACCACCGAGTTCAACTTGACCTTCTTGGTCACAATGATGGTAGAGACGTCGTTGCCGTATGGCCGCAGTACCAGGGGTCGTGCCGCATCACGCATGGTCACACTCGCTCCCGCCGCCAACAAAGCTGACACCAATCCGAGCGATCCGACGGAGGTGTCGGACCCGGAGTCGAAGAGGGTCGCACACACGGGCAACACACCCTCGACAACGCAGTCGAGCCTTGGGCTCGGAGTCGACGCAGCAGGGGCTTCGATGGCGTTGACTTGCCGCGCAGCTTGTGCCCGACCGCCGTCGGCTCCAGGCCCATGGTTACGCGAGTTGCCAGGCGTTTTTCCCCCGGCAATGCCTCCCCCCGGCTTCACTGCGGTTGGCTCGTAGCAATTCCGATGCTTCGCCCTGGAGGGATTTCACCGTACTCGATTTATCTCCTGCGGGAGTTGCCTTTGGGCAGCATCTCACCAAATGATCGAGAGAACAGCACTTGAGACAACCCCCCTTGGGCGTCCATCCCCCTGCTGGCGCGTGCCGCGCCAGTAGGAGGCTTGTTCGCCTTCAGAGGAGTTCTATCGTCAGGTCGCAGCTTGACGAACATTTGGTACGTCGTTGCGTACTCCCGCAACCACCGTACGAACTTGATCACGTCGCTCTTCAGCGCCTTGTTGCGCTGCATCGCAATCTGTTCTTTGACCGCGGCCGGTTTGATCGCGTCAACGATGACGCCGACCATCATTTTGCCCTCTTCCTTGAGGACCCACTCTTGGTTGTCGAGCTCGAGGGCTTTCATCAGGCCCTCCAGCATCTTGCCCACTCTCGAGTCGACATCGACGATCGAGAGATCGAACTTGACTGCTCCACGCAGTCGCACCTTGATCGCGTCGAGGTCCGAGGGCAGGACATCAAAGCCGAGGCGCATCCATGCGATCCAGTCAGCTTCCGTGGTCTCTTCCACCGTCTTGTCCAGTTCCCACATGGCAACGCGTTTCTTCGTGTAATGGTCGATGCAGGCCGACACCGGCATCACCAAGGGTTTGGTGGTCGTCGTTTGCAACGCAGCCACCTGCTCCAAGTACTGGTTGTACTCGCGCATAAACTGTCGGCGCTCGGCTTTCGTCGAGCCCTTGAACTTGGGTGCCTGCGGGATCGCAGGCGCGTTGTATATCATGTGATCATACACGCCCATACTTTCGTCGTCACGCAGGTCAGCATTTTCCTCTGCCGCACCCGCGGCGCCGGTCGATTGGGACGGCCCAGACGCTGAAGCTGACCCGGCCGCTCCTCCCACCTGTGCCGCTGCCGTCCCATCGGACTGCGCAGCGTGTTCGGCAGTTGGGGCTGCCACCGGGGCAGTCCATGCTTCATGCCGCTGCCAAGCGGCGGCTGTTCGAGGTTGTCGTCCTCGGGGAGACACAAACGGTTCGCCTCCTCGCGGGCTTCGTGAACGGGTCCGCGTTGCTCCAGCATTGCGCGACCCAGCGTCGGTGTCATCAAAGTCAAAGTCTTCGGTATTCATCCGAACGACAGCAGAAGTTACAGCAGCAACTACAGAATTCTTTGTTCGCACATCGTGTGCAGCAAGCTGAGACTGGTGACTAGCTCTGTCTTCGATAAAGCAAAAGCAAAAGTACATTAGATAAGAGCAAGAACTACCAGCTACTGACTACTAACCGCTTCACTTCGCCTGGTCGGCTTGAACAAACACATCGGACCCTACCTACAGTATCGTACTGTACCTGGTGGATGTCCGAACCAGCGCGAGGGCAACGTACTTCTCGTGGGCAACTATCCCGCGGGAACAGTAATCCACAAATGTACCGCGTTAGGGCATCTTGTAATTGGATGCCCTTCAACGTGCTGAAGTCTTTTGGCCATTACTTGGCTCGTTGAAAGTTCGGCAGCATATGTCGGCCTGGAAGGTCGTGCAGTATGTCTCTGGATGATTGCTCTGCGCCATTGCATTCACAACTGCTGCATCATCGCAAGGAGGGGCGGTACGTACGTAGTGAATCGCGTCTAACTCTTGGGCGAGCATTCCCTTGAAAACTTGTAGTTCGACGAGCACCTCTTCGAAGCCAAGCACTGCCCGCTCCAAGGACTGAGCAAGCGTGTGTGCGGCAATGAAGTGTTAACTCCTGCGGAATATGACACATTTGCCTTGACGTAGCTGAAGTGCAGCGCAAGAAGATTGCCCATGACAAACGCCTTTCGAATGGTACGACCCCACTCTTTGAGCTCGGCATGCTGCACAGCACGTGTGGGGACTTCGTAACCCACTCGCTGAAGCAGAGCGTGAACTACTGTATGTTCTCAGGCAATATCTTGCATGTTTGTTTCATCGTAACATCAACAGTGACGCCGTGATGCTGTTTGCGAAGGCTCGTTTGGTGATCTTTGTGACGGAGTTCTCACGCAATAAGACGCTCGAACTCTTGGATTAGACCTTTCGTTGCGTGGTTGTCAGCATCAAAGCACATATAAGACGGAAGTTCCCGACCTTGCTTAGTTCGTTCCAGCCTCCCAGGACCTTTGCGATGGTTTGGTCTCTAGACGAGATGTATGCAAAAAATGTTGCAGTTGCATTTATGCTCTATAGGCTGATGGACCGAGTCGGGCAACTTGACGTTGACATGACTGCTTGCGTGTGCTGCGCCACCACGACGCGCGGAGTGCGACTGCAAATCATTGGTAAGTGTTGACACTTGATCAAACTTGTACAACTCTTTGAAAACTCGATTGATGTGTGCAGCAACACACGACTCGTTTTTCGCCTCCAAGACGTGACCAAACACCTTGTGAGAAGCGTTGAACGGGTCGGCAACCAACTGGCGTACCAAGGTGTCGAAGGGATCGATCGGCCAATTGCCAGATGAGCAAAAGATTGAGATAGATCGATGCAATCGCACTTTCAACATACAATCACTATATTAGCTGTGAGCACGAATTCCTTTGACGGGTCATACTTCCTCTGTTTCATATTACTGCCGACTATTGGCTTCGAGGTGCCCCCAAATATTGAATTCTTGTCCAAATTCGATGAATCATATCATGTTCAATAGATAATCAAAATGTAGAGGAAAGGTCTATTGACTGCAAGGCGCGATTTTGGCGCCCAATTTTCACTTCGCCATCGGGTCTCCGAATAAATTACG